AAAAAATCCCACAGTGCGAGTGAGTCGCAAGACCTGCCATGGCTTCCAACGCTGACTTGATGTTGCCCTTGATCGTCAAGTAGAAGACCTATACACAAGATGAAGGCCATTTGTAAGAACAGGAATCTGGAACACAGAAAGGTTGTATGGATTCAAATTCTCAAACTCTAAACTCTCGAACACAATTCTGCCTGGGGTGTCTTTCGCTGGTCAGGGATTTTGAGCTGCAGCCCGACTGCATCACGGGTCCAGTACGGGATGACCTTACAATGCTCGTATTCCTGGATTGTGTTTCTCAGCTTCTCCCTCTCAGGATCGCAGGTCCGCTTCCGAGAGCTTTGAGGCTGAGTGTCCTTGGAGTCACTCGGACCATCGCAATCCTCCTTGTCATGCTTCTTCCCCCCCTTTACCTCGAGTCTTTTTGCTTGCTGGTTCCGATTTGGTTGTTCCCTTTGCCTTCCTTTTGTTGCCTGGCTTGCTGCAAGCGCTGGCTTCCTCAACCCTTGCGGACGACTTCCGCTCACGACCTTTTGATTTATTCTCATTCTTCTTTGTTTTTTCTTGTTGGTTCTGAATTCTCCAGGTCGGCATCTACACTTTCCTTGGATTGCTTTCCCCGACCCTTGCGAGGTCCTTTGCCTCGGCCACGCCCCCCCCCGTGCTGGCTGTCTTGCTGATTCCGCAAAAGGAACTGTTCAGATTCCTCAGCTTGTCCGGCCCCCCTCCTCCCATGCCTCCTGCTCTCGAGGCACAACAACATTTTCCAGTTCCGGTTCTTTCTTTACGAAAGCAACTGCATCCAAATCCCTCAGCTTTGGCTGGTTTGATTCCACACTAGACTCTGGTCTCAAAGCTGGAGGTCGAAGCATTTGGTCGACCTTCTTGAGAGCAGCTACAGGGTCCTGGCAAGGTCGCTCAGCAAAGCAAAGCACCTGCAAAACAAAACTCCGTGGAAAAGCAATTATTGCACCAGCCATCCTCCAACACCACTCCATCAGGCTTGCTCTGCAGCAGCCCGGATGGCTTCGCCTGCAAACGCGCAAGAAGAAACAAGTCCACGTAGGCAGCAACAGCCATCAACAAGTTAAAGAAGGACTGGCCTTTGGTGCCTCCTGCAGCTGCTCCCTCAGTGTGGACACATGGCCAAAGGTTGCGCAAGGAGTCTGAACTCAAACATTGTGTGCCAAGTAGCTCGAGCTTTTTGATCTCTTCATCAATGGTCGATAAGCTTGGCTTGTCGGGCATCTCCGATTTGGTCGATAGGCTTGGCTTGTCGGGCATCTCCGGTTCTCCACATTGAGATCCATTGGGCCCATTGAGATCCATTGGGCCCTCAGTGACCACGGCTTTTTTCTGGCACACTTTGAGACATTCTCAGGGACATCAACTCGTAGTGCTTGATCAGTCCATCAAGCTCCTCCTTTGAAGAGGGAGGCTGCCTGGACCGGATTTGGGTCACTGGCTCTGGAGGAAAGTCAGCCCCCCATCACATCAAAGGGTATTGTCAACATCTCATTCACATCCACTGTTTGGCATGAAGGATAGACACCGCCACAGCTGCTGATGGGCTGCGAATCTGGCATGTTCACATCATGGTGGGTGAAGCAAAAGACATCCCTTGGCTGGGAATCATCTACAGGCGGACTCGTCTCCACCTCAGCTTCATCACGCTGGGTTGTTGGAATCTCATCATCATCAAGATTGATCACCATGTCCGCTTTCCTGCCAAGCTCTACCTCAACAACCGGCTCAGCAGTCTCCAGCGCAGGCTGTGTGTCCTCAAGAGTAGGCTCCATAACTGGCTGTGTATCCTCCAGTGCCAGGGCGTCCTCTGCGTCCAGGGCATCTAGGTCCTCATCACCTGCCTCCATGAGGGGAGCAACCTCCTCGACCTCCTCGTCCTGGAATATCATTTACAATTCAGTTTGACTGCAGATGCACTCGGCTTTTGCTACATACTACACACTCATACAACAAACAAGAAGGTCCTCCTCATCATCAGCAACGTCAGCAGCATCATACACAGGCAGCAAGTATGGGTACCACACGGCAATGAATATCCGATAGATAGCCTTTACTTCCGGGTCCTTGATCGATCTTGATCGCAGTAAAGCCACAACAACTCACCCAACTTAATCTCAATAACAACCCCCCACACACACATATAAGCATGCCTGCGCACACATCACACTGATTGCTGCCGGAGTTCACGAGGTATCCGCCCCATGCGGATGTTCCGAAAGATGTGGGACATCAGCTTTCGCACACCCCAAGAGTCACATTGTACCTGTACCTTGGAAGGGCCTTTCTGTAGGTCCAAGAGGCTCCAAAATTGCTTCACCTACGGACAGCTCCAAGTATGATCCAGAAATCATGCGGGCTAATTCAAAAGATAGCTATGATAGCGCATTCCCCCACCTGGTCCTTGATGCAACGAAGGGGGGGGGTGCGTGCAGTTCCACAGGCTTCGAAGTCGAAGACTTCGACCCATACCTCCGCAAAAGAACGAAGGACTTCCACATTCAACTTCAGGGCTTTCCTGGGCAGGCTTCAGGTTGGTTTTGACATTGCTGCCAAAAAGAAGTCTCAACATGCCAACATGCCTTTTGACCTCTCTTGGATTGGAGTGAAGAAAGATGCAATGGTTATGTTTTGATAAGACTCATCGAAGGGATGCCAGTAGCAGAAGCTGAGGGCCAAGAGATCAAAGCTTGAATTTCTCTGCAACGGCGGCGCAGGAAGGAGTTGGCCTCCAGCTTCTCTGCCAAGCCCTGGAGCATCACTACTGACACCGCTGCGCGTGAGAAAACCGGCTTGGCTGCTAAAGGGAGAGCTGCAGGTCATGCCTACATGATCTCACACAAAAAAACAGTGAAACATATGGGCCACCTAACTCAAATTCTTTCTGGCGTTTGTAGATGTTGCATTCACGAAGAAGGTTGCTCATGATCATGGACCCAAGAGCTCTTTGAAATTGTCCATCTGTGGTTGGCTCATCTTGGTTCCCGGGCCATCCACACAAAGCAAAACCTGCGTGGGAATAAACACTGGGAGGTACCACTGGGAGAGTTCCGGAGGTGTGCGACACACTAAGCTCACAGAGTGACAAGTTGGGATATCGCGCGCAGCTATAGAATCTTTTCTCGAGTGGGGCCCTGCGGTTGTTCACTACCTTATGTCTCAGACAAACTAGCTGATGATGATGGGGCCTCAGAGCACACGGGACCCAAAGGGAACATTAAGAGGGGACCTTAGGATGAGACCTCAGAGCTGTTCAGGCCACGTCCTCAACATGCGAGCCCCCCCAAAACTACATCATAAAATGTGTGAGTGACAAGAAAACACATGTCAATCCTTTTGATTGCTTCACCAGATGGTCCACCACACCCGCGTTGTCGTAGTTGGATAGAATTTTGTGGGCTTTGTTCACATCGATAGTTTGGTCCTCCAACAAACGAAGAGCGTTAGACCAAAGGTTTGATAAGCCATAATAGACCTTAGGCCTTATAGGCATGAAGCAACACATCCTTGCCAAACATCACCTTGATGACCTCCGCCCACCAGTCATCCGAGTGATCCAGTAAACCTGACCAAGCGGAGAATGGGGATACGAAACATGATGGAAACACCTCAGCACAACCGCTCCTCGGGTCTCATACTCCGATCGCAAGTCACTGTGCTTTGCGAGGAATGCTTCCATGATTGAGCCACAAAAATGCTGCAAAATGGACAGTAAGGTCACTCTTCACTGCATAGTTTTGCGCTTGCTGCAAATGTTTGCAAACACACAAGGTTGCTTGCAGTCAAAAAAAATTGAGCATAGGGAGGGCGCACCAAATCAATGGCCCAAATGTCATGGAGTACAGTCAAGAGCTTTCATGCTTGAGATGAAAGCTTGCGAACCCGAACGCATCGAGACCTTTCGATGGTTGGCACATCACGTCATGATCTCCAATGCATGGAGTCTCGAAATGCCACCTCCAGCAAAATACAAAAAAAGGTACTCTTGATAGAAAAAGATACTTTTAACATAGGATGCCATCCTTAACACGCGTCCCCATTTTCTAAGGTACTTTCGAGACTCCAGGTA